ACAAGGCTGGGCCCCCGGCCCCGGCCCCATCACCTCCATCCCGGATTCGCTCGGGGGCCCGTTCGCCAGCGTGCTATCTTCGCTCCAAAGACCCAACGGTGCCAAAGCCGCCTTAGTGAAGAGCAGTATGTTTTGATCTGGGATCTTGCGCGGTGGCGGCGACAGCGACAGCGACAGCGGCGAGCCAGGGCCCGCAGGCGAGTGGGCGAGTGGTAGGCGCAAGGGTATTGTCGCTGCTGCTGTGGCTTTTTCACCGAGGCCTAACGTAATCACCATACGAATAACGAGAAACCGGCGTCACCCCCACTTCAACCCCACTTCAACCCCCTTCCTCAACCCTAAGAACAAAACAAAAAACTCGCCTGGCTTCGCACCTGCCCAGAGCCTGCGCAGAGGGCCGGGGTGATGCTGCGATGGGGGGACCTCTTAGGGCGGCTGTGTCTGCGTGTCAGCGGGTGTCAGGCTCGGGATGTGTGTCTGTGGCCCAAGCAGGTGACAGAGACAGATGGGAGGGCACAACCACCTCGGCCACTTGCTTCGGAAAAGAAAAAAAAAAAAAAAAAAGAAAGAAAAGAAAAAGAAAATTGGAAATACAAATTTGGAAGGGAGCAACGATTTTTTATTTTAGAAAATGCTAGAAGGGAGGGAGATAAAGGGAAGAGGGGAGGGGACACGCGGCGCCAGCAGAGAGCTAGAGCTCTGGAACCCCTAAATTGGCGCCCTCCTGACAGCACGGACTCTTTGGGGACCCCTCTTCAGAGCAGAGTAGGGACCCTTTCGCGGCTTCCTTTCCCCTCGCCCGTCCTTGGGTTGGGCGACAACTCGCTCACACTCCTCCAGCGGCCAAAGTGACTTTCTCGCGCCCGCTTGCCTGTCCCACCTCGCCTGAAAACCATTCTGCTATTGGAGCATCTGAACCCCAAACAGTCCTGACTCTCAACCCCGAAACTTGCAGCCTCTGGGCCCTGAATGACGCCTCATCCATGAGATGCCTTTTCATCCACAAACTGTCTCGTATTTCGCAGCCCCCCCCTTTTTTTCTCTCCTGCCATCCCCCCACCGGCGTTTTCTTCTTCCACCAGCTTTTCCTGAACTTGTGGGCAGTGCTTTGAATTGGAGTCGGTTTGGGTGCACGAGGCTGGCTGCAGAGAGGTCTACCCAGCGAGGGTGGAAGGGCGCGCGCACGTTCACAGGTGTCTCGGTCTGCGTTTCCTTGTGAATGATCCGCGCTGGACTATGGCCCTGGACAGTGGATGGACTATTGATGATCCCATTCTTCGCGGTTTAGACATGTCTGTTGGGATTTTTTCTGTTTTTCGTTTCGTTTCGTTTTTATTTCAAAAGGCACAAACGATAGATATTAGTTCAATGTTGAGGCTTTACCTTTTTGCGTGTCTTTCTACAACCGTGTTCTGTGACTCAATTGTATCGTGTTAATATCAGTACAGACTGTCTCCTCTCCGTGACCTGTGATGTTTTTCTCTTCCTGTAGTCTCTATGGCGTGTCTTTATGGCGTAACAAGGTCCTCACGGGTTCAATTCCTTTGTGTTTAGAGAGACCACGATTCAGACAATGGTATATATTTTTGTTAGCAGGTGCATGTCTGTCCGATTTCTTCTTTTTTTCCCTTCTTCTTGTTGGACTATGTTCGTGAACATAATTGTCATAAGTTATGTTTCAGATTTTCAAATTTATTTATATGTGTTATAATGAATGCTTCTATTTAAAAGGGAAATATTTCTACATGTGCATATAGTTTTCCAAGAGTGTACCATTAACTTGATTGTTGATAATAAAAACAAAAAGCGAGTCCAGCATTGATCTCTTCTGTCTTTTTAAAAATTGTTTTTAGAGAGGTTTTTTGCTATAGGGTGCGGGCGCTCGCCAGACAGAGAGAGACAGAGAGACAGAAAGTGAGAAATCACCCCCCAGGGGGGATGGTCAC